TATGAGTTATTATGACCATTTGATGCTTTTGAGGGCTGTGCGAGGGATAATTTTAGAACAGCAGCTCTGGTGGGCTGACCTCCATCTGGGGAAGCGGGACCTCCCCCTCAGCAGAGCTTGGACAAAACATCCATCTCATTAATGCTGCAAGGATGTGGGAAGGCAAGGCCCCCATTAGAGGAACTATTGGAGGCCCATTGCCCTGGAAACTGGGATAAAACTACCAGTCCATTTGGGGCCCAGCTTAAGGAGGACAGCCACCCCAGGCCGGTGGCAGAAGCCTCTCTCCTCCCACGAGGGATGCCAGTCTGCCGAGTTCCGGAGATGAAATTAGCCGCCAGGGCACGCGGGTATGGAGAACTCATGGACCTCTTTTGAAAGAGCACTTCTTCGGGGGCGTGTAGGATACGCACAATTGGATCAAGTGCTCTGTGAGGATGATGTGGAGGGAAGGTGACCTTCCTGGGCAAAGAAAGCCACTGAGATGTGTAAGGCAGCCGAAATAACTAAAGAATCAAATGACTCTAATGTGTGAGGATGAGGGCAAAGCTGTGCCCACTGTGATAAAGAAGAGAAGCGCCCAGGGTTCCAAATCAAAGAGCCTGCGAAGTCTAAAGGCTCCCAGTGGCAAGGCGAGAACCTCAACAGAATAAAAATACCCGGGGAGGAAGTGATGACAATCAAGCAACTAGTGTATAGGGAGACAGGAGGCGGGGGTCCAGCACCTCGGGGAGCACCCCGATTTGGGCCTCAGTTACAGAGCCTCAGAGGCTGGGATGCACTGAACACCGGAGCGGGGTGACCTCGGAGTTTGAGGCTGTGGATGGACCGGTGTCATTCCCTAGCCCAGATCTGGCACGGGGGCGCTCATTAGGAAGGCACCGCAGCAGACCCCTTTCCAGGGAACGATAAGGGCTTTGGCTCTATTTGCTAGTCTAACATTTGCGGGACCATCAGAACGGGAAGCGTAACGCTGGAGGGGCTGGTTGGTCTGTCATTGTCTGAATGCCCCTCCCCTTCCTCATACCTCTCGGTCCAGCCAGGCTAAACTCAGTGGTGACCCAGGAAATCTAATCCTTTGGGCCCTGATTGTGATCTGTCCGTAAGGTGATGACCCCAGCAATGATTGGTTGAGCAAAGTAGGCGTCTGGCTCCTGGTTTGTGGTGTTGGGGCCGGAGGCGGGGATGAAGGTGGAGGTGGCGAACAGCGGCAGGGAAGAACGATGAGCCCCACCGCGCTTGGCTCAAGCTTTCCGTGGTCCCCTCTAGCTCCAGGCCCGGTTGTGGGATGGCGTGAGGGCACTTGGCTTTTTTCTGCCACTTTTCCTGGGCTTAATCCCCCGAATCCCCTGTAGAACAGAGCCTCAGCCTTGACCTCTATTTCCAAGGGCCCCCTCGCCTGCCCTGGCTCTGGGAATGAGTGAGAGACCGACACGCTCTGGGGCTGTCACTTTGTCATCTGTTGGTGATGTGCCTCGCCTGCTGTCTCCCTTCTCTGTGGCGGAATAAAGAACAGCCTTCCGCTGGGATCTCCAGATGACTCCTTTCATGGAGCCATTCCCTTATCTTGAAAAAAAAAAAATTAGCTACATGAAGGCACGGGAGATTTTGATGCCTCCATCGGTGATGTGGTCTACCTGAGGACTGAGAGGATGTGATTACAGACTCCCCGAGGGTGTGTGAGAACAACTTGAAAAGGGAAAAAATGAAAGAGGAAGATGTGAAATACGGGGGTCAGGAACTCGGGCAGGTTCCTGACGATCAATTTAATTCAGGGGAAGGCTCTCCCTCTGTGCAGGCACCAGGGGTGCGTGTGGGATACAGCATGCTTCATAGGGGTGCTGTGACGTGGCATCAGAGGTAGCCCAGGGGCCCCCAGGAAGTCAGTGGAGCCAGTGAACACGTGGGTGCCAGGACCCAAGGAACAGAACCTTCGGCGTGTGGGAAGAAACGGGGTTCTTGAACTTCTGAGTTTTGGCATCTAGAGGCTGCAAACCTGAAACGCTGAAAGTAAAAGCAAAGACAGAAGGAAGGGGGTCAGGGGCACCTGGTACCAGTGGGACATAGCAAATGAGCCAGACCCACAGACCCCAAGACCCACCAGAGCAGGGCCTGAAGCTCAGGCTGGGGGCTGAGAGCCGAAGCCCTTTGTGGCCAGAGCTGGGGAAGTCCTCAGGATGGATGTGGGGCCACGGGCTCTGCCGTTCTGGGCACCAGCAAGACAGAGGGTGTGTGTTTAGGAGCCGCTCCCACTGAGAACCAGCAACATTCCAGACATGGAGCTACTCACTCCCCGCTCACTCATTTCTTTGTTTCCCCAACTAGAAAGTCTACAGAAACTCTTGGGAACAGATCCGGGATGGTGGCTATGACTTCAGGCTGGACGCCATCCCGTTCCAGACCGCCCGGGCATCCAGGGAGATTGCCAGTGACGTAAGACCTCACATTCTCTCCCTCCTCTCTCTCTCTTTCTCTCACTGATAGGTTTTGCTCTGGTTTTCCCAGATCTGTTGAAAGGCAAACCACCGGGAACCAAAACTGAACAAATATTTCAAATGAAAGAAAAAAGTTGACCTTATTTTTTTAGCATCTTAGCCAGAAATTTGGAATTGGGGAGGGTTGTATTCCCACTCCCTCTGTTTTAAGAGAGGCACTCTTAAAGGTTGACGCATGTGGACAGTACCTAGAAGTCAATTAACGTATGATTGATTTGTTGACCTTCCATTGAGGGACTATTTTTTTTTAGCTGAAGTGCACTGTGATAGGTTAGAAAGAGATTGGGTTTCCCCCCTAGATTGGCTTGAGTTCAAATCCTGGCTCAGTCACTTAGGAATTGACTCTATGGTCTTGGGCAAGTTGCTTAAATTCTCTGAACTCAAATATCTCCATCTATGAAATAGACATCTAATACTGGTCTCCTAGGATTGATGTAGGGATGAAACCAAAAGGGTTCATAGTGTCATGCACAGAACATGACAAAACACGGCCGCTTCCCTTACTGAATAGGAAGATGTCATTAACTAGATACGTCATCATTCACGAGTGGCTTGTTACTGGTCCAAAGTGAGATAAGTATAGAAATCAAGAGCAAGCATTCAGAAACGTTCTTAGCAATTGGACGTCATGACCTCCAAGCCTGTGACTGGTGGACTTCTCTGGTTGAGCAGAGTAGAGGCCAGTTTTTACGTGTTGTAGAATGTACCTGGTACCACTACATACGGATCCCAGGCAGGAGGACCGCATATTGGACTTTGACAGATTGGAAGTTTTAAAAATCGAAACAAAATGAATCCTGTCCTTCACTATAGATGGTTTGAGGAGCATTGGACTGGGTCCCTGCAAGCTGGAAAGAATCAAAGGATGAGCGGCTACTGAAACAGTGGACACATTTTTCTTGCTGTTGGGTTATTAACCATTACAGCAGCAATGATATCATCAGCCAGCACTCGGTGGGCATGTGAGCCTGCGCCAGACATGAAGCTCAGCCCCACTGAATCCTCTCAGTGTCCCATGGGGTGGAGGTTCATTCTCCCATTTTATCAGGTGGGGAAACCAAGAAACCAGAGAGACTCAGTAACTGACCCAAGGCCACACAGCTAGTAGGCAACAGAGGGAGATCCAGACCCCAGGTCTACTTGAATCCAAAGCTGTGCCCTTAACCCACGGTTGAACCTCCTGCTGAGATCCTGAGGACTGGTCCTAGAAGGGAGGTGGGCACCCATGACCCCCCTCTGCATCTCTGACCTGCACTCCTGGTACAGAGAGGCCTTCCTGCGGGACCGGGGCCTGCAGACTGGGTACTGCAGCATCCACGACCACCCGAGGATGAAGCGTTTCCTCAGCGTCAGCAAACTCCAGAGTGACAATGAGTACAGGAAGGACTTCGCTAAGAGTCGGTCCCAGTTCCACGGCCGCCCAGACCAGCCTGGCTTCCTCCAAGCCACGAGGAGCCAGCAGCTGGCCAGCAGCGTGTGCCACAGGCAGCCCCTGCCCTAGCCCTCCTGCGACCCAGAGCAGCCGGCCTGAAGCCTGCCGAGAAGGCCCACCAGCTGCAGAGCGATGTGGGCTGCCCTCGCTCCCTGGCCGAGGCCCGGCCTCTGGGGCCTCTTCATAAGAGATGGCCAGAATCCCACATCCCACGTTACCTTCAGGGAGGACCTGGGCTGAGATAGAACCCGGGAGACCTAACTCAATAGTGCCAGAAGAAATGACAGGAATCGCAGTGTACTGAGTCCTTCCTGTGGGCCAGGCTCTGTGCTGAATGCTTTCTGAGCGCCGTGCCACATAGCTCTCACAACCAGCCCATCACTGCCCCAGTTTACAGATGGGGAACCTGAGGCTTAGAGAGGTGAAGTAACAAACTCAAGATCACGTGGCACGTAAGTGGCGGGCCTGGGATCTGAGCCCCATTTGGTCTGATGTGAGAGCACAAGCTCTGGATTGCTGTGCCGTACTCTTTCCAAGGGATCTTCGTAGTCGCCTGGACTGTGACCTTTCTCTGGGAGGCAACTGAAACCCAAAAAAGGGAAAGGACTTCCGTAAGGCCACAGAGCAAGTCAACATGGGAGCTCGGCCTTGAGCCAGGTCTCTGACCCTCCACCCCCGTTACAGCCCCATCACTTGAATGGAGAGATGCAGAGGACAGCGTTATGCTGGCCCAGCTCCCAGCACACAGGGTCCTCGATGCCAGGGAGCTGCTGCTTAAGCTGAATTGCCTCCCTTGACGGGGCTTCACGGACAGCATATTCTCCAGGGCAGGCATTTTAAGCCTCCCCCCAAACCCTGCTGACCTATTCCTCTTGCCTCCCTCCTTCCCCCAAGGTTAAGTACAAATCAGACTTGAACCTGACCAGAGGTATTGGCTGGACACCTCCTGGCTCCTACAAAGTGGAAATGGCTCGGCGGGCTGCAGAGCTGGCCAACGCGAGGGGCCTGGGTCTCCGGGGAGCTTACGTGAGTAGCGGGCTGGCTTTCAAGGCCACGGGGGAAAGGCAAACTCATTGTTTCTTTTCAAACTTTATTTTTGGCCAAAGGTCAGCCGGCTCTAAAGACGTGTGAAATGCAGCTCAGGCAAGGCGCCTAATTTCATGGGTCTGAGGTGACCAGGAGGATGACACCCGGGTTAAACTTCCTGCAGAGTTTTCTCTGAAGTCACAGCCATTAGTTCTTCGGAGACAAAACGTGCCAGGGCTACAGCAGTAGCAGCCGCAGCAGCCCAGGCTGTGCTGACTGTTTGCTCATTACATTCACGGAAGGGGTCAGGGACTTGCTGGCTACAACAGTCTGGGTTTTGAACCCTACTTTGTTCGGAAGAAAGATGCCACGTCTAAATGAGAGATTGGCTTTACTTCTCTCTCTTTCTTGCCTTGAGGATCCTTCTTCTTGGGGAGGACGGAGGAGGGAGAAAGGAAGGGGAGGGCCAGCATTTTAGACAGCTTGTCCTATGGGAGCAGGACAGAAGGTTCGTCTTAACTCAGGGAGGTGTGTTTGATTTCTGCAGGGGGGGCAGGAGGCTGTAGAGACCGGAGATGATCAGAGGGGGGATGTGAACCCAGATGCCACCGAGATTCTTCACGTCAAAAGGAGGAAGGCCCTGCCGTTGTGAGTGGGCGGCGTCCACCTGGGATTCTTGGGAGAGAAGCTGGAGAGGAAGTTTGCACGCCAGGGACATACATGGCTTCAGTTGGGGCCAACTGTGAAAGCAGCACCCCAGCCCATGCTCCGATCCTCCTTTATTAAAATAATAACTCTCTGAAAGTGGGTGGAGAATGTTGTGTTTTGGTCCTCTGTCGGATACCTAGAAGTGGGTGGCCCTGTTGCGTGCCTTGAGTGTCTGGGATGAGGAATAAAGATGTAAAGGTGACCCCCGCTGACGCTAAGCCGTCTGAAATCTCACATTTGCCAATGTCCGAGGTGAAGGCAGTCGATGAACACTGATTTTCTAGAAGCTACAATTGTTGGAAGGGAAGCAAACATCATATACTTCAGGTTGATTCATTTCTGGGTTTCCCAGGAAGGAGCCTGAGGAAGTGGCAGCCATGCTGGTCCAGGGCATCCCAGGCTGGGCAGCAGTGGTCTCTGCTTAGAGCCTGCACACTCGGAGGCGTCAGGGGCTGTCCACGGCTGCCCGTGAGGCCTCGCCTTGGCTGGGTGTCAAGGAGGATGGGCTGTGAGCTTTGGAAGACACCTCAAAAGCTAGCCTCGCTTTCCATGGTGGCTTTGATCCAAGTCAGGAATTTGGTCACTTGGGTGTAGACTCCTGGCTTCTTCCCACACTCCAGGCCCCAGCTCACGATCCCATAGACGTAGTAGGTGCCGTCCTTCTCACAGGTCAGAGGGCCTCCAGAGTCACCCTATGGGAAAAAGACGCAGGAGTCAGCTTTGTGAATAGGAATACATTCAGAGGCAGCTCCACCCTCCATGAGGGGATGCCGGGGCGGGGGCGGGGGATGCCGGGGGGAAGGGGGGAGACTGCTGGCCGGCCCTGGGGAAGGTAGCAACAAGGCTCTTCCAACGCCTCATGTGACGCAGTGCTCTGAAGGGAGAGAAACAAATACTGACCTACGTCCTGAGTCAGTGAGGGCTTCCTGAGTCAGAGAAGCCATGGGGCCGGGGCCCAGTGCCAGGCCCAGCCCTACTTCCTGACCCGCCATGACTCTTAGTGATACAGGTACTACAAGGGGCCCTCAGGCGGAGGCTGAGAGGTGCCCTGTTTGGATAGAGCCCTTCCAGGGGCCACAAGGGCACACACACGGCAAGGAGGATGGGGCTCAGAGGCAGCATGACCTTGATGTTTAACACGGTCCATGGAGTTAGATCTGCTGGGCTCCAAACCAGGCTTACTGCCTGCTGGCCAACGGGGCCTCGGTTTCTCACACTGTGAACCGTGGATAGTAACAGAACCCCTGCCCCACCCTGAGGGTCTTGTGAGGACTAATGTTTGTAAAACACATAGAACAGTGCCTGATTCATATTAACCCCCCAGTTTAGGTGGAGGGGATGATGATGGTCTCTCTCTCTCTCTCTCTCTCTCTCTCTCTCTCACACACACACACACACACACACACTGCTGCTTACACACCACAACTGGTAGGATTTTTAATGAATTGTCTCTTTCAATCTTAGCCACCATCTGCTGATTTTATGCATACACTCTTTCCGTTTTATAGGTTAGTCACCTAAGGTTGGAGAATTATTTCGGTGCAGTGGGTTGAATGTTTATGTCCCCCTGCCCCCAAATTCATATGCTGAAGCCTAATCCTCACTGGGATGTTATTAGGAGGTGGGGCTTTGGGGAAGTGATTAGGTCATGAGGGTGGAGGCTACATACATGGTATTAGTGCCCTTATAGAGGAGACCCTAGAGAACTAGCTTTCTCTCTCCACCATGTGAGGACACAATGAGAAGTTGGCAGTCTGCAACCTGGAAGAGGGTCCTCACCAGAACCCGCCCATGCCAGCACCTGATTTCAGACTTCCAGCCTCCAGGACTGTGAGAAATAAATGTCTGATGTTTAAGCCAGCCACCAAGTCTAAGGTAATTTGTCATAGAGGCCTGACTAAGCCATTCAGTGATTGATAAAGGTCACAAAGTAAAGGATAGAAGCAGGTTTCAAACCCATGACCATCTGCTTTTAAAGCCTACAAGGGAAGCCCTTGAAATACCTAGGGAACTGAACAATCTGTTTTCTTATTCGTCTTCTAGGGACCTAGGGAAAATCAATGCCATCTGCCCACACACCTCCTTTGATTAGGTGGATATCTGTGGCTCCTTGGGAAGGGGCAGAGGGTCACAGTACAGCCACAAACCCTGGGGAGAGTGACCGTGATTTCCCATCCCCAAAGGGGCTCAAGGCTGGGAGATCATTGTTGGGTCCCTTTGTAGGGAGGAGCTCAGATTTGAATGTGCCCATGCTGGTCCCCCAAAGTCCTCTATGGGGGCTGGTGTCAGGCAGGTTCTAAATTGGCTCTGGCCACAGAGAAGCCACTCAGCCAATTAGTTTATTAGGGTTAAGTCACCCTCCCCCTTCGCACACACACACACGTTTAAACCCTAACGGTTAGTCAATATTACTGCGAATTCTCTGGCGTCTCATCTCTCTCCTTCGAAGCACTGGGCTTTGGGACTGTCCCCTGCTTATTGGGATTTGCAGACAAGCTGCACAGTCCTGAGGCCATTTAAACACAGTGGAGCAAATTCCTGCTCTGCCACTTGCCACCCAGGTGCTATAGGCCAAGATGGTTTCTCTAAGCATCTGTACAACGGTGATAATGACATCCCCTTCACCAGATGGTTGTGAGAATTAAGTTGGACAATGTGGGCAAAGTGACAGCTGTGGTTATGCTGAGTCGTCCTGGTTTGATGTGGACTCAGGTTTGCCAGAGGACAGACGTGTCCCCTCTAGCTTAATGGCAAGTGGGTCTCTGAACCCACCTCCCAGCCCAGGGTTCTAAGGGCCCTCTGTGCCCGGTGTAAGGTCCTGTCAGCCCCTCCTTCTTCAAGTACCATTTGGAGTCTCTGACCTGGCAGGAGTCTTGCCCAGGCTTCTGGAGGTTTCCTGCACAAATCATACTGTCATCAATCATGTGGTCATACAGTTGGCGGGAGTTGCACACAGTGTTGCTGATGAGCTTGACCTTGGCGTCCAGGAGCTGGTGGGACCCGTCCCCTGAGGGGCAGAGAAAGGAGGTTGCCACTGTAGAGACCAGGCTGGAACCTGCCCCACCAGAAGCCAGCAGCAGTCAGAAGAGGGCCACGAGACCTGAGCTTGGCAGGAAGGGTTTTTACGGGAGATGGGCAGAGCAGCCTCATCTTTCAGGGCTGGGGACTCTTTGCTTTCAGCCTTCACGATGGTTCTACACACCTTCAATGCTGTGCTTATCCCATGCAGCAGAATCATTTATGCCCTCCTCTGTCTCCCCAGCTAGACGGTGAGGTTGGGCAAGCAGGGATGGTGTCTTAAACCTATTTTTAATTTCCCATGCCTGACAGAGGGCTGCACGTAGTAGAGACTTCATGACACTTGAAGTGCCCTGGTTGATCACCTAGAGTGCCTGCTTCCCAGAGCAGACGTTGCCTTGCTTAAAGAACCTCTGTTCTTCTCAATCTGCTCTCGTCAGCACGATGATGCTGAAAGGTTTACATGGACTCCAGTGAAGCTGGCTACAAAAACGTTTCCTGGTTAACCCTAAATCTAATTATCTATCAGAAATCTTCTTTCCCAGAAGCCTTCTGACAAATGTGTATATTACATTTCACTTTCTTCATGAATATGGGCCTATTTCAAGTGATTCTTGCTTTCCATTTTTTGGAACAAGATTTGGGAGGAAGAGAAATCTATTTTGAGTATTTGAGAGAGACTTGATACACGCTTCTGAATTTCATATGTGAGAGGATGTAACCTTGTCAGTACTATAAGAAAAGTAGCCCTTTGGTTACTTTTTAAGATCAGACCAAATCCTAAAGATAAATCAATAGCTTGACGTAACAAAAGTTTATAGAATGCTACTATGTAGAGAGCCTTGACCAAAGCACCGTAGTAGAGTCAAAGGTGAATGAAACCTGACCCCTGCCCTCCAGGGGCTGACTTAATGAATATCTCTGGAGAATTCTATCATCTCTTGTTATCATGATTCCAAACCTAGGATGTTATTGGGAAACTGAAACTCAGCTGTCCAAGTCAAGTGACAAAGCCAAGAACCTAATACAAGTCTGTCTGACTCCAAAATCCATCTTCCTTCTAATTTATCCTCTTTCCAATGTACCTAGGAAAGGAAAAAGTTCTCCATGGATACAAGATCAAGGCTTGTTGAAAGTCAAAGATCTAAGGGTTGGGGCCGAGGACAGATATGGAGATCAGAGGAGACTCCTTGAAGGTGATGAGATTTAACTGGAGCTTGAGAGATGGGGCAATCTCTTTCTTTGGTCTATACATTTTGAATATAACACTGATATCTAGTTCAGGAGGGCAGTTGAGTGTAACCCTTTCTTGTCTGGTGGATGTAACTCACCTGGGCCTCAGGAGAATGCATGGCCAGACTCACCTGTTTCTGTAACACCCCAGCCGGAGATGTGACACTCAGTCCCAGGGGGAAAGGGACCATCAGGCAAACATACAGTTTTCACATATTTGGATTCCAGAGCACAGTGACCGTCCACTGGCTTTAGCTTGAGCAAAGCTAGGTAGAGAAAGGGGAAATGGGCAGTGACATCCTCTCTGTCAAAGAAGCATCAGCTTCAACTTGATTGGAAGGTGGACCTAGCAAAGCCCCATTCCCAATACCTAAAAGAACTCTCCCTTGGTCATTTCATTCTTTTAACTTTCAATTCGGAGGAGTAATAACACTTCAGGCTGAGTTTTAAATTACTTCTAATCCTTTTTTTAAAAAACAGGCTTTAAGGGGGAAAAAACGATATTGAGGAAGCAGAAAGAATGAGAGGTCTGTGAATGGAGAAATAGGGGACAGAACTAAGCAGGAGGCAGATCGAGTACGTCATTGCCTACCAGGTGCCAGGTGTGCATGGGGATACATGAACATCACGTCACTTAGCACACAGGAAGTGGAGACTGTACATCAGTGTGCCCGTTTTACAACAGAGGGAATTGAAGCTCAGCCAGCTGTTAATTCAAGGCTGAGCTCTCGCCACAACGCAACGTTCCTAGCATCTCTTCCCCTCAATTTAAGAACTTGTGCACATTTATCTGCAACGCTAACACAGACCTTGAAGAACTAAAAAACTCTGGAATAAATGCTCTACCTTACAGGGTCTATGAGGGACCAAGAAGGCAAGAGCACCTTCTAGAACCAAACCTCAGCTTTCCATCAGTAGAGAAACCCACCCAGGGCAAGACCCATGGGAAAGCCACGATAGAAGAGACTTGCCAATGTCGTTGTAGGGAATGTCATCTCTTTCGTCATAGTGGCTGTACTTGAGTATCTTCTCCACCCCAAAGCTCTGCTCGTGGAATTCTGTCTTCTTCAGGTCCTGGTCCCCTAGCACCACTTTTAGATATTTGGCTTTTAAGCTACAAGGGAAAGTAAGATGATCAGGAACTAGCCCTGGAATTTGAGAGCCTGGAGCCACACCCTGGCTCTGCTCCTGGTCAGCTGTGTGACCTTTGACAGATGACCTGACCTGCTCACGCCTCAGCATCCCCATCTGTAATCACGGTCTTGCTAAAGAACTCTCCTGCTCGTCTTTAAGTAGCTAGTTCTGAGGCTTGCATGTCATAACACATGTAATGCACGTGGTGAGCATTGTACACATGGGAGCTCTCTTCTATCTGGTTGTAAGGAAACATCCTTTTGCCCTTGGAGCAAGATCCGACCCCCAGGTCCTGCCAGAGTTGCCAAGATGCTGCTCGGATGGGGAGAGAAGAACACCCCTGGAGACTGCAGCCACCCTAACCTCTGCTCCCAGCAGGCACCTACTCGGTGCAGTGGGCGGCAGTCAGCACCCAGCAGGGGTGGATCAATGTCCCCCCACAGAAATGGCCCTGGGGCATGGAGATGGTCAGTCGCAACGAGGTCTGCAGGGACGCCTGCCATGGGTGCTTGCCCGCTGTGCTCTTAAAGCCGCCGTAGATCCTCTTGACCTTCCTGTCTGCTACCTCAGTCCTCCCGCATGAGTCAAACTCGGGAAGTTTGGTCAGGGGCTCTGCGTGGGCAACATCTGTGAAGCACAAGAAAAATAAAGCACACTTCTCACCCTCCCTACAGATCCTCAGAAGGACCTTGTCAGAGGCATGGCTCTGCATCCGGAAGCTTAACTAGTGTCCAGAGCTAAGAGACTATACTGGTGCATATAGGATAGGCACGTGTGCAGTTAGCATTTGTGGAATACATTGATTAATACAAAGCGAGTCTATAGGATTAATGATGAAGATGTTGCTTTTTCCTTCTTATTCTGACATGTAGACAGACATATAAAAAATGTTTATCACTTATACGTGGAATCTAAAAAATACAACAGATTAGTGAATGTGACAAAAAAAAGAAGCAGACTCACAGATAGAGAACAAATTAGTGGTTAGCAGTGGGGAGACAGAAGGAGGGAGGGGCAAGACAGGGGTAGGGATTAAGAGGTATGAACTATCACGTATAAAATAAGCTACAAGGATATATTGTACAACGGGGGAATATAGCCAATATTTTATAACTATAAATGTAGTACAACCTTTAAAAATTGCGAGTCACTGTAGTGTACACCTATAACTTACATAATATTGTACAGCAAATATACTTCAATAAAAAATGTGTGTATAGATATATAAATCCATCTCTGGGTATGTATTTAACTATTTGTTAATGCACACATATATTCTGGAGGCTTTTTTGGTGCCTAGGGGAAGATATTCAGATGAAATAGAGCGGGGGAGAGAAGACATTTGCACACATAACTGTCATGCAAAGGGGAGAGCAGCAAGTGTTGCATGGATGATGCCCAATCTATTCCATGCAGTTTGTAAGAAGGGAGAGGTAATATTTCACTTGGTAAATCTTGGAGGACTTCCTGGAGGAGTGGTTACTTGGGTTGATTCTCAAAGAATGGTTGGATATGAACAAGAGCGGGTATGGGACACAGTATTACAGACAGAGGTGACCATAAGAGCAAAGGCACAGAAATGAAACTGTCCAGGGAAGTAATTCCATTGAGCAGAGGGAGGGTGCATCGCTTCAGACGTGAGTGGAGAGGTGGGCTAAGGCAGCAAGGCAGGAAGACTGTGAGGCTGGAATTCAGTCCATGCTGTGTCCCGAGAGGCTGTGGAGACCCAGCCACCGTTTGATCACCACTGTACACTGAAGGCCTGGCATAGCGCCTGGCACCCAGCAAGCAATCGTTCAATATTTGCTGAGTGCACTGACTGGGAGTCGGGAAGCCTGAGTCTACAAATGTATCCAAGTCTGCTCGACCTCCCGAGAGGGGAGCAGAGGATTGGGCAGTTGGGTTGCCACTGGGATGGCAAATGGTAAAGCAGGAGTTGTGGAAGGACAGGGGTAGGACAGAGAGGGAGTTCCAGGAACATCTTTCTATGGCTCTGCAACCTCCCCACTACCCGGGCCTCCAGACAGCCACAGACTTACCTAGAGCTGAGCAGGAGGGGACATCACAGTACTCCCATTTCAACTTTGCATTGTTTAATTTAAAGAAACACCAGGGCTTTTTGTCTCCATCTGGGTTTCTAAAATTAAAAAAAAAAAACAAAGTAAGCCGGAGTCAAGCCTTGGTGAACTCGCTGGACCTCATTAAAAGTCCTTTGAGTAAGAGAGCACCAAGCTCTTGCATCCCCCTGGGACCACATTCCATTCCATTCCTCCAACAGGTTAGCAAACCTTGACATACTAGGGTGGTTATAGTTTGGGGGCCAAATCTTAACTTCCAGAGGAGAATCTCAGTAACCAGGGAGTAGTTCACGAGCTTCGTGCCAGATCCACGGGACATATTACACTGTTTGTAGGAAAATAAATGAGATCCCTGTTGAAGACCCTTCTTTGTCAGGAAAGTGAAATAACTACACAAACATGGTGAGAGTAGGGCTCCGCTGCCCGAGCCTTCAAGTTCTGTGCGTGGGAATTCTCTGAGAGCCGCTGCTGGGGGTCACCCTGAAGAGTCCCGTGGAGGGGGCAGCTCAAGGTAAGTGAAAGTAGAAGGAAACTTGTGTCTTGTGTCTTGTGCTAGGGAAATCCTCTTGCTTAATGGAACCAGTTTAAAGCCATACAAAAACTCTCTGTTTCTATATGCAGACCATGCATGTCCTTGGCCTTGGTTAGACAATGAGCTGTGGAAGGAAGCCAACAGGATGGTCAGGAAGACGGGGAAGAAGGTACCAGTCATCACCAGGGATAGAAATGGCATTATTCTTATTTGGGAAAACCTGCACATCCTTGTGTCAGAGACCGTCATGCTAACCAAACATTCCATTTTCCATTTATCCCTTTGAAGTTCCATTTATCCCTTGAAGTTATGTGAGACTATATGACTATTTCTGGCCAATGAAACATGTGTGGTAAGATGATGTGTCACTTCTAGGCTGAGGTAGTAAAATTCTCACGCTCCACGTTCCAGTCTCTCCTTCCCCTTCCTGTGTATTTGAGTAACTAAGTGAAGCTAAGAATACCCCCTACCTCCACACCCAACCTACATGACACGCGTAGCATTAATGGGAAATTAACATTGATGTGTTCAAGCCACTGGGATTTGGGGGTTGTTCATTACAGCAGCATAACCTAACCTAGCCTGAGTTGGAAAATCTTCCTAGAGGGAAAGCTGATGAGTTTCAGTGTTCCGTTCCAACATTTCGAAGCTGGCCCAGGAGAACTAGGAGCAGAGGGGAGGGACAAACAGATCCTTCCATTGACAAGTGGCCAAGGCAGAGGACAGGGAGGATGGTAAGCTTTACCTGCAGAAGTTGTGCTCCCCAATCCCATGGGCCTCAGCGTCCTCCATGAACATGTTGTAATTCTCCTTCAAGAGGAGGTGGGAGTTCCAGTAAAGGCACGAGTGCTGGTTGATTGTCTTACTCACTTTCCCTCGGTAAGAGTAGCCATCGCCAACATAGCAGTCATCAGAACCTTGGAGAGAGCAGTTGGGACTGTGAGAACTGAGACCAGCTGGTGTGCCGTGCCTGGAAAGGACTTGGCAGGTGTATCAGGTGGTGAGAGGATTGGGCCTGAATACTGATCACCCTGAGGTTTCACTACGAGTTCCCAGAAATAAGGTGGTTTGAACGCTCCACATTCAACCCAGCTTAAAAACAAGGAATATCATGGGGGTGGGGGTGAGAGCTGAGTTCTTTAATTTGGGCTCAAACAAGAACCAGTGGTAGGTAGGTTGAGGCCCAAGGATACCCAGGAGTGTTTGACTTGCCCGCACTATATCCCAGTTTATGACTTCCTCTACATGGAGCCAGACATACCCTACGCCCTTAGGTTGGAAGGCCGAGGCAATAGCAGAGCTTGGGAATTGACTTGAACCCTGTTCTGGCAACAAAATGCAAACAGATAAAGGAGTCCAGAGGCCTCACATGTGTCCCTGAGTTTCTGATGAAGTGGTGCTATAGACCCATACCTATTTCACAGAGTTTCCCCTTGAACTGGTCAGGACAGGTGCAGGTGAACTTGGATCTCCGCCTATGCCGGGAGCAGGTGCCGCCATTTTGGCAGGGATTTGGCCTGCATGCAGGAACCGCTGTGAACACAGGAAGTGGGTCCAGGAAGGCTCTTTAGAAGGAGTTGCAGCTACATCTGAGCTGATGAGGAGGTATTGGTGGCACTTTTCTGGTGTCCATCCTTTCACAAAAATGGGTCACCAAAGGGGAAAGAGAGACCCACTGACATGCAAGAAAACATACACACAGACCTTAAGAACATAAGCAAACATGGATGAAGCAATATGATGGAGGCCAGCAAAAAAGAGTCTATAAGTAGATGGGTCGCTCATTAAGGAAAAACAAGGTGCATAGACTGAGCAGGAATTTGGGGGCCAGTCTGAGCTAGGTTGAAACTTAGCTCTGCCTCTTGACAGCTGAGTGACCATAAGCAAGTTAGCTAACCTCTCTGAACTTCAATTTCTTCACCTGTAAAACTGTTTCTTGTAGTGTTTTGGGGACAATGTGAGAGAGAATGTAAATCTCCTGGGACAATGCCTGACTCATAGCAGTGAATAAATATACATGGCCCATTCTAGGAAAAGACCAGGGCTTACTTCCTAGATTAAATGAGTTTTAAGATGATTATTTTTTGTTGGGAAGAGACACAGACAAGTCAATTCTCACTGGACTTTCCAGAGGTAATGAATCTTAAAAAGTCCTAGTTAAAAGGGCCATCTTGGATGCCACCAAAACATTGGATGTATCTGGACTTCCACACAGGAGGATATTGACATCCCAGGCACAAGCCACAGTAGAGAGAGCTTAGCATAGAAGAGGCCTCCAGCACTTACCTCTGGAGCAGTCTTCACCCCTGTAAGGGTGTTTACAGGCACAGCGGTAGTAAGGAGAACTCTGAGTAATGAGACAGTCTCCTCGGCCACATGGGTTGTTCTTGCATTTGTTTTGCACTGTAGGAGATCAATAGAGAAGTAGGGACAAAGTACAGGACATTATTTGGGGCACATTTTACTTTGAGAGGTACCTGTACAGTACAATGTTTGGGAGGGGAGTGCGGGGGCGTGGGGAGAGGTGGTGTTGGTGACTGATAGAGCATGTGCCCCCTGTCCATGGTTCTGAAACATCATGCTACCCACCTAGACAAGGCTTCTCTCTTATCCTTGGGTCGTGGATGATTGCTTCCCAGTTCCTTATGAGTTTCTAGGGCTCATAGTCTTTATTATGCTATTTTTATAAACACCTTGATAATTTTTACACCTTCAGAAAAGTGGAGCTGCAATTTGAGTTTCTCCATTGTATAGCTGATTTTATATTCCATTTACAATTTTGTCATTCTTCCAAGAAGTTGAGGGATAAACCCAGTAACTATGTTTGGGCCTGGTATCCCAAACCATCCTGAAAATTTTATTGAAAGATTTTGTAGGATTGAAAATGGTAGGAATAACTGAAGAGGGCACAGAGAAAACAAGTCAACCATAAAACCCTCACTTCCTCCCTCACCCCACTTAGATGGTTGCTAGATGTGACAGAATCCAGGTTCTCTCTAGGGGTGCAATTAGCCTGTAAGAATTCTATTCCCAATACCTTATTACATAGCCTCATGTTATGCCCACAAGAGGTCACTAAGAGTGGACACACCTTTTTTCAGAGTCTCCACGAGTGAGGATGGCAGGAAGAGAGAGCATGGGGCTGGGAGTCAGGCACCAGGTCTGTAATTTCTGCTCTTCTCTTAATTAGCTGTGTAACCATGAGCAAGTCCCCTGTACACTCTGGGCTCCCTTTCTCTAACAAGGTTGAGCCTTATGTGCCCTGAGAGCCTTCCTGCTCTTGTATATGAACAACATTTCTCTGCTGAAGTTGGTCTAAACACTCTTGGTCAGAACCCAGCTATTATCTCCTCTTACCCTCAATCTTCTCATCTGTGGAATGGACATACTAGTCCTATCTAACATGTAAGGGTGAGGACTCAGTGAGATGCTGCCTGTGACCATGCTGAGGAATCTATTATGCATAACATAATATGTGTGATTGTCAGCCTTTTCACGGGACTACTGAACCCTTCTTTACCCCCTAGAATTGGAGGAGAAACTGCCTCTTGTTCAACATGGAGGGAAGATTGGATCCAGTGAAGGTCCACTCACCATTCTGACACCTGTTTCCAGAGAAAGGGGCTGGACAGCTGCAGGTGAATGTGGCCCCGCTGATGAGGCAGTCCCCACCATGTGCACAGGGGTTGGACAGGCATGGATCTAAAACACGTGGGCGGAAGTCAATGTTGCAATGAACAGCAGGCAAGAAGCCCCCTGTCTGCACTGAATTTCCATCTCCTGCCCCAAATGAGAGAGGAACTGCCTAGCCAGTGATTGGGGAAAGGGGGAAACATGCATTGACCTTAAAGAGCCGGGAAAACTGCCATGACAAGACCAGAGGGAGGAATTCAGGTTAGTAAGAGGAGAGGCAAGAAGGAATCGTGACTGTCTCCCTCAGCCTGGCTTTGGATGGGGCCTTTCTCGTTGAGTAACTCCCCTTTCCCGTCATCAGTGTCTCTCTCCTCCCAGGCTCGCTGGGAGTGCCACGGGGTCTGTCTCTGATGCCGAAGGCATTTCACAAGCCTGAAGACCTCCCCTACTCCCAGTGCCCAGGGGTGGAGGTCAGGAGTGGGGAACGAAATCCCACCCCTAATGAAACACAAGCTTTCTGAACATCAGGAAAGAAGACCAAAGGCAAGAGGGGGACAGAAGAATTGACGGCGAGGAGGAAATGACCCAGTGGCCTTCATCTTTCTTCAACTACTTGTTCAGTTAGATTTTGTCATATTTCATCTGTGCCTTTGGCTTTTCATGGTTGTCTGAATGGATCTTCCCTTGGGGAATTCTTTATCCTTCTGTTCACACACATTGTTCTTTGGTTCAGGAACTAGGATCCCTGGGCCTGGCTCTTGTTTTGATGGTCCCTTCTGATGTTCCCCTGATGCCCCGTATCTTGGCCCTGCCTTCCAGGCCACTTCGCAGTTACACAGCTTTTATTCCAGCTGCTAAGTGCTTTCCATTACTTCTACTGATTTAGTCACATGGCTTTGCTTAGGCCCAGCTTCTCATTTTCCTTTCTGTCTCAAGAAGCCACAAAAACAAAAACAAACGTGGCCGAAGCACACATGTGTGAGCGCGCGTGCACACACACACACACACACACACACACACAACTGTGCAAATCTTCTGAAGAGTGAAAAGAGAAAAAAAAAAACAGCATAGCACAATGGCAAATTTGTGAATGCTACAGTTTGAAGCCTAATGCTAAGACAGACTCTTCTGCATAATTAGGACTACCTGTCATGAAAGCTCTGGGGATGATTTTGAACATGACTCTAACCCACAGTGTCGGGAGAGCTAGATGATGATGCATAACTTGCTGAGTGACCTTGGCTAAGTCAGCTCCTCTCTTGGCCTCACTTGCTTCACCTGTCATTTGAAAGTGGGAGAGATGGTCTCTAAGAACCTCCCCAGTATTCATAGTATGTAATTCTAACTGAATAAAAGCCAGTCTAAATAATTTTGTAATACCTATTTTATGATGCTGGTCAGAGAGTAAGAGAAGAGAGAGCCCTTGCATATGGTCACACATAAACTCCCCTCCAGGTGCGCTGCTCTCCTCCCAGGAGGGCCCCCCCAAACAGCTCTGGTACCTACCGTCCTCCGCGTAGTACCAGTCAGGATTCTCGGGATGGCCTAGAGCACTGCTGGCATTCCCCTCCTGGTCGTAATACTCTTGGCTGTACTCATAGTGGTCGAGAGTCCAATCTGCAGATGTGGGAACAGGACAGAAGCAACCCTAGTCATCAGACCTAAAGAAGTCACCATTTTATTTCACTGAAAACCCCCTTTCCCAAAGATTTCTAGGTCCTGAAGGAGGGTTCATGTGTCTTTCCAGCTCCTGACACTGACGGGGCAGATGGAAGGGGTCGGGCACCGTGAGTTTTCATTTGAGGGGGCTGTCATGACCCAGTGAGCCAGCGCTGGCATTTGGCAGGGTCAAGAGCACGTGATTGGAAATGGCTTTTCACTAACCGTGACCTTGGACAAGCCAACTGTATCCTCCGTGCCTCAGTTTTCTCACCTGTAAAGAGCAGGAAGATGACTGGGGCGCAGGGAGTCTCCAAGGTCCTGTATGAGATCTGCCCAGGGTCAGATCCAGTGGCACTTGGGTGCCTTGTTGGGTGGTTCTGTGAATGAAGTTTCTCAGTGGGACTTTATCAGTCACCTTAGCTGAATAAAGTCAAAGAAACTTGTCACTTTTCTTTCAGCTTCAGCATCAAACTACTCCCGAGTTATTTACATAGAATCATCGTAACTGTTAATATTTACTGAGTCTTTACTACGTACCAGGCTCTGGACTAAGCATTTTACATGAACCACCCCATTCCATTCTCATAAAAATCTAGATGTATTATTATCTCTACTTTAAGCTTAGAAACCTGAGGCTCAAAGAGGTTAAGTAACTTGTCCAAGGTCACATAGCTAATAAATGACAGCATAGGAACTAATGCAGTTTATCTCCATATATCCCTTAAATTGCACTCTCTCAACTGCTTCAGCGGGCCTCTCATACTGCCTCAGATAATTCAGTTACCCTTGGGAAAGGGGTCCTATCATTCCCGTTGCATGTCCAGCCTGCTAATTAGGGATTGTCCAAGGACAGCCTTGAGAAGGTTCACGGATCTTGCCTACTGAAAGAAAGGGCAGTATATGGCGTTGCCCTTGGTTGTAAACCTTACACTAGACCAATCCACTAGGAAGAGCAGGTGTGTGTAAGCCTGGACTCAAGCTCTTTGTTGTCTGGGGCCTTGGAAGATGCTGATCGCTCTGTGGCTGAAGGAGAGGAGTTTGGGATTTGAAGAAGGTTGGGTTGACTTTGCTCTCTCCAGCTGGCAGGAGTATGGCAAGTCAGCAAGTTGAAGCTGTAAGGAAGCTGTCCAGAGATGCATATGTTAATGAGGCAGGAGCAAATGCAGATAGCCGACTTGAAAAGGCGCTCCCACGGAGCCACAGCGATGGCCCGGAGGATGGGACCTTACCTACACCCGATTATCAACCACATTATCTTATTCGTCTCTCAGTCATTCCCTTATAGTCTTTATCTCTTTGGCTTTTGAAAAATCGACTTTTGCACAATGGCTGTTTTATATTTCCCATTAAAATGGAACTATCTTTTTATTTCCTTTTTGAATACGCCAACTCTGGTTCCTTGCCAAAGTGTCACCTCATTTATCACAGTGTCAAGTCAAGACTCCCTTTGCCTCCTCATTATTTCTCCCGAGCTGCTTTTCCCCACTATGAAAATGCTCTCAGAGGAGGCCACCTTTCCAGGCATGAGGATCTAGGTTGAAGATAAGGCCATTGTCTTCCTGGAGCAAAAAATGTTTCTTTCCATCTAGCATGATAAAGCAGAGAAAGGGTGAGAAAGTAAGGGGAAAAAAATGTTTTTCTGAGTTTGACATGAAAGATTTCAAACTGACATTTGGAAGAGACAATGAGTTTGGTAATGAGATGATTGCCCCATTTCTTTCTTTTTTCTTTGGAGAATTGATTTTTGTTTTTCCAACAGGTGTTTATAGATAAGCGCCTTTGAATCGCTCCTGTAATTTCTCCCATCACTCCCACAAGTCGAGGGTCAGACTGGATAATCTTGGTTAGACCGTTAAGAATCATTTCTTTTGCAGATATTTGGAAATGAGGGAAGGTTTTTCATAAAGATGGAATGGTATGATTTTTCCAGGTGACAGAGGATGGATGAAATGTCTGTTGGAGGGTTTTGATTTGAATCCAGCCCTATTTACAAGGTCTGTTCACCTCTCAGTGAAGCTAAGGAGGGAATAAAACACATAGACTTTGAGTTACATTCCTGCCAAGTGAGGCATTAAGTCCCTGCTATCCTCCAGGGTCCAGGGCCCTTGGTTGAGGTGGGATAGAAGCAGCAGAGGCTCAGTGGCCCCAGATTGCCAGAAGCCATCAGTTGGAAGACTGTGCAAGGGAAGGCCAAGATCCTTGACATTTGGGGTGGGTTGCGATATGTTTTGAAAATGCTTTTTAGAAGAGTCACCTGGGAGGGTTTCTCTACCTCCAAACTTAAAGCTTGTTTTGTCTTTTCTATTCTATTGGTAGTTCATCCCATTGCCTATGTAAGAAACATGTATTGTGCACCTACAGTGGGACAAGTATTATGCCAGGTGCAGGAAGGCTTTGGGAACAATGGAGAACTATACAAAAAAGAGTGGGATGTGGCCTCCAGTCAAAGGAGCCTCGAATCCGGGGTGGATGGGGGAAGGAAGCCAACCAAGGAAGGAGATGAAAGGGTAGTGAAGAGGCAGGGGAGCTGGATGTGGCCAAGTCTAGCTGACAGCCTCAAGTTCCACATTGGTAGTCCGGTGTGGTATGAGCCAATCTGATGAAATAAAAGAGACCTGATTCTTCACCTCTCCCTGTGGCCATGCTTATTGCAATGTGCCTTTGCAGCTCCTCTCACCAAAAGATGGAGTCACAAATCAATAAAATTAGAAATGAAAAAGGAGAAGTTACAACAGACACCACAGAATTACAAAGCATGCTAAGAGACTACTACAAGCAAATCTATGCCAATAAAATGGACAACCTGGAAGAAATGGACAAATTCTTAGAAAAGTATAACCTTCCAAGACTGAACCGGGAAGAAATAGAAAATACAAACAGACCAACCAATCACAAATAATGAAATTGAAACTGTGATTAAAAATCTTCCAACAAACAAAAGTCCAGGACCAGATGGCTTCACAGGTGAATTCTATCAAACATTTAAAGAGCTAACACCCATCCTTCTCAAACTCTTCCCAAAAATTGCAGAGGAAGGAACACTCCCAACCTCATTCTATGAGGTCACCATCAGCCTGATACCAAAACCGAACAAAGATATTACAAAAAAAGAAAATTACAGACCAATATCACTGATGAATATAGATACAAAAATCCTCAACAAAATACTAGTAAACGGAATCCAACAACACATTAAAAGGCTCATACACCATGATCAAGTGGGATTTAACCCAGGGATGCAAGAATTCTTCAATATATAGAAATCAATCAATGTGATACACCATATTAACAAATTAAAGAATAAAAACCATATGATCATCTCAATAGATGCAGAAAAATCTTTTGACAAAATTCAACACCTATTTATGATAAAAACTCTCCAGAAAATGGGCATAGAGGGAAACTACATCAACATAATAAAGGCCATATATGAAAAACCCACAGCCAACATCGTTCTCAATGGGGAAAAACTGAAAGCATTTCCTCTAAGATCAGGAACAAGGCAAGGATGTCCACTCTTGTCACTATTATTCAACATAGCTTTGGAAGTTCTAGCCACAGCAATCAGAGAAGAAAAAGAAATACAAATTGGAAAAGAAGAAGTAAAACTGTCACTGTGTACAGATGACATGATACTATACATAGAGAATCCTAAAGATGCTACCAGAAAACTACTAGAGCTAATCAATGAATTTGGTAAAGTTGCAGGATACAAAGTTAATGCACAGAAATCTCTTGCATTCCTATACACTAATGATGAAACATCTGAAAGAGAAATTAAGGAAACACTCCCATTTACCATTGCAACAAAAAGAATAAAATACCTAGGAGTAAACCTACCTAGGGAGACAAAAGACCTGTATGCAGAAAAGTATAAGATACTGATGAAAAAATTAAAGATGATACCAACAGATGGAGAGATATACCATGTTTTTGGATTGGAAGAATCAATATTGTGAAAATGACTATACTACCCAAAGCAATCTACAGATTCAATGCAATCCCTATCAAATTACCAATGGCATTTTTTCACAGAACTAGAACAAAAAATCTTAAAATTTGTATGGAGACACAAAAGACCCCAAATAGCCAAAGCAATCTTGAGGGAAAAAAATGGAGCTGGAGGAGTCAGACTCCCTGACTTCAGACTATACTACAAAGCTACAGTAATCAAGACAATATGGTACTGGCACAAAAACAGAAATATAGATCAACAGAACAGGATAGAGAGCCCAGAGATAAACCCACGCACTTATGGTCAACTAATCTATGACAAAGGTGGCAAGGATATACAATGGAGAAAAGACAGTCTCTTCAATAAGTGGTGCTGGGAAAACTGGACAGCTACATGTAAAAGAATGAAATTAGAACACTCCCTAACACCATACACAAAAATAAACTCAAAATGGATTAGAGACCTAAATGTAAGACCAGACACTATAAAACTCTTACAGGAAAACATAGGAAGAACACTCTTTGACATAAATCACAGCAAGATCTTTTTTGATCCACCTCCTAGAGTAATGGAAATAAAAACAAAAATAAACAAATGGGACCTAATGAAACGTAAAAGCTTTTGCAAAGCAAAGGAAACTACAAACAAGACGAGAAGACAACCCTCAGAATGGGAGAAAATATTTGCAAACAAATCAATGGACAAAGGCTTAATCTCCAAAATATATAAACAGCTCATGCAGCTCAATATTATAAAAACAAACAACCCAATCCAAAAATTGGCAGAAGACCTAAACAGACATTTCTCCAATGAAGATATACAGATTGCCAACAAACACATGAAACAATGCTCAACAGCACTAATCATTAGAGAAATGCAGATCAAAACTACAATGAGGTATCACCTCACACCAGTCAGAATGGCCATCATCAAAAAATCTACAAACAGTAAATGCTGGAGAGGGTGTGGAGAAAAGGGAACCCTCTTGCACTGTTGGTGG